CCACGTCCGCCAGTTATTTGGGAAAGTTGGCAGAGCTTTTAATTGTGATCATGACATGTGTTTTTTTAAATTATAAATTATAAATTATAGGTTTTAAAAATAACAAATGAAAGGGGAATTAGTATTAATTTTTAAAATATTATCAAAAACTTTAAGAAACAGCTAAAAATTTAAGTTAAATTGATTGATGATCCTCAAACGACCACGTTTATAGTCATGGGTTACCCCAGTCTACTACACACATAGTAATCTACACCAAGTCTTGTCTTATTCGCTCATTTGTACTGATTTTTTCTCCTATAAAATTTCATAGCATAAGTTATCTAATATAACTTTAATTACCACGCTTTACTTTGTTTCCTCATTGCCACATATATGGTAATTAAATTCATTTATTTTGCAAATTAGGGAGACAAGTAGGGGCGGAGGACGGAATTTTAATTATTTGAGAGGATGAAATTAGAGAAAACAATTTTTTTTTGGGGGGGAATTTTCATTTTTTTTATTTTTAAGATTAAAAATCTAATTTATTAAAGAAGGGGGGCTGAAATTTTTTTTCCTTAAAGGGCCCTGCCCTGCCATCCCCCCTAATTTCGCCCCCGGAGACAAAAAGTTCACAACATAATTTTTTGCAATTTTTTTTTTTTTTAACTTGGGTTAAGGTGTTCGGTTAGACTTTCTGAATAAAAGACAGAAGTTATTTGATACTGTGGAAGTAATAATTTTTTTCAGAACTGTATTAAAATAATTTTTTATATTAATATAATTTAAAAATATTAAAAAAATAATTTGAAATAGAAAATAATTTTTTGTTAATTTTTGGCTGTATGCTTCGAATGAGTGAAAATCGTGTATTATGTCATCTATGTGTGCTCCACGTGACCTCTTCACCGTGTGACCAATGGTGAGCACCATCATCGGTTTCAGGCTCCTGGCTTGAAACTTATCCTCATCAGTGGCATATGCATGTTTTCTGTGCCTGATATTGTGGACCCTGATTTGTTGAGAGTGCCTGCAGCTGTATATGACGGTGGATTGCAATTGATAGCCACAGCTTCTGGGCCGCGAAGAAGCCAAGATAATTTAGCAAGCACCAACATTAATTAGATGTTGCTGGGTAGAAATTGAAGTGCACAGGCATGGCGGCCAATAAGATTCTCAAGACAACAGGACAGGCGATGGCTGTGATATTTGGAAGTTGAAAGAAAAAGGGGAATCCGATCCCAAAAGATTCACATTGACTAAGAGGTTTATGAAAGTGATAATTGTGATTATGGGGGTTCCTATCCAAAGAAAAAAGTTATGGCAATGACAGGTTGACGAGCAGAGACTGTTCAACAAGGGCTCAGGAACCTGCAGTAGCAGAGACTGTTCAACAAGGGCTCAGGAACCTGCAGTAATTTATATCGCATTTGCTGCAAGAGCAGCAGAAATTAAAACCATCTCGATTATTTGATTCTTATAATACTGTACAGTAACGTATAACTAGTTGAATTACAAGGTTCAATATTTCCAAGCTCATTTTCAACTCGATCGAGCTTTGAAGGAAGAGACTAAGAAACCTCATGGAGTTTCACGAGACCAAGAGATCTGGCCAGCCTCAAAGACAGAAAGCAGAGATATATAGCCAAGAGACCAATCCCGAGAGACCTATCTAGCCTCATGTTCTTCCTCGGCAAGATCACAAGGGCCCAGAGCAAGCCCCCCATCAAGAACCCTAGAGTCTCGTAGAGAGAAGGGTCTTTGGGGATGACAAATGAAGAGGGATATTTGGACCCAGATGAGATGATCAGTGAAATGCCCAAACCCAGCAACATATTGAACATGGGACCAGCATAGCAGCCTGATGTGGCGATTTGGACCCCATCTGCCCCACCATTTACTGCCATGGCAACATTAGCTATCAAATCTCCGAGGGAGTTGCCCCAAGCCAGGACAGTCAATCCAAGAACTGAAGGGTTAATCCCGAGTATATACCCTAGTGAAATCAATAAAGAGACCAGTTCTTCAGCAATAATATATGACCAAGTTACACTCATCAGAAACCCACCAGCAAGCCAAGGGAACAAGGATTTCTTCGGTGGGCTAGACTTCTTCGTTGTCACATATGCAAGATTGCCAAGAACCATCCCAATCAATCCTGATGTCATATAGGTCACTAGGCTGCTTTTAGAGCCAAACTCCTTTTCTCTTTGGGAGGTGCACAGTGCTGCCAATAGAATTGGTGCTAATGCCACAGAAACAACTGCATATGGCCTTGACCATCTCTCCTCACTAACCACAGGTATAGTCAATCTTCTAGGGATGTACAGAGGGAATTCCAAAACATACAGAAGCCTACCCAAGTAATAGCAAAAGGATGAATCGAGATTACAAAAAATCAATGAGCTTTGCTGATCTTCATCAGTGGTTTTGTCCACCAAAATTGGTTTTTCATCATCAGCATAACCGAGTAACGGTATACCCCTCTCCAAAAATTCCTCCTGGTTACCGTCTGCAGTTAAGTGATTCTTTTTTCTGGACTGAAAGTGCATGATGCAAACCACAGATACATAACCCAAGTAGATAGCAAGAAAAGAAATTGCACCCCACAAGGAGATTTTTCCAACAAGAATAATCAAGAGAAGACAACATAGAGAGAACAGAAAGAAGCAGACATCTCTGATGAAGCTACACTTATCAACCGAAATTTGGCGAGGACTAGTCAATAAACTAATAACACCAACCACCACACTAGACACGAAAAAAGCTCCGCCCAAAATACTATTCAGGCCAACATCACCATTGCTAGACCTAGTGAAGGAAACAATACTAGCGAAAACATCAGGAGCGCCATTGCCAAGCGAAAGAAGGGTGACACCAGCAATAGTTGGAGAAAGCTTCAAGAGTTTGGACAGGTTTTCCAAGGAGGGACAGAAATAATCTGCTGCTGTGTTGCCTAACAGATAGAACAGAACAGCCAGCCATAGTAACAGCATAACGTGACCAAGCATAGAAAATTTACCACAAGTACAGTAAAAGATTTGGAGATAGTTTATATACCCTTTAGACCTGCACCCAATATTAGACTTGATGTACACACACTTGGATTTGTAATCTGTGTAGTCATGAATTCGGCTGCAGCCATCAGTTTTGGTCAATTCTTCTTGAAGCACTAAAGAATGTTTTGTGGTGACTTCTGGCTCATTGAATTGGTCAGGAAAATATGAGGTTGCAATATAGAACAAGAAGAGGAAGAGAAAGGAGATGTTAAGGAAAATAGTGCTTTTCCTGGGCTTGCCTCTCGAGGCACTGAAAATGGCCATTCACAAGAAGCTTGTAGAGAAGATGTTAAAGGTTTAGATACTGAGAATTGAAGTTCATAAATTCTAAGTTGTTGTGGCCGGGAATGGGCTGTATTTTGGCTGGGTTATAAGGGAGGGATATATTTGTGAAGTAACAAAACAAATAGTCAAAAGTTAACTCTAAAACTGAAAGAGATGTTTCAAGAATTAACCCAATTCCCCATAGAAGATGCAGAATTAATTAGCTAATAACAAAGACATCATCTGGTGGTACCATGTCGGAGGCAGAAAAGAATTAGCAGGAAAGAGAGGTTATATGCTATATCGCATCGTTCAAGAGATGATCAAGGATAAAATGAAGATGGTACTGTATGTATATGTTCAACTTCAGAAAGCTATGCTTGTGTGGTTTTTTTCACCTCAGCCCGGGTGCTGTGGGTTAGAGTTTAGTTAAGCTGTTACTATCATCATCTGTTTGAAAAATAAGTGAAGGGCTAGAGGGATCGTGGAGGCAGGTCTTGCTGGTTTCTTGATTGAGAAATTCCTCTAGCTAGGATGAAATTGTCTGTGCGGGCAAAACGTTCAGTCTTCCTGCGTACTGAATTCAAACTTGCAACCATTTATACGGTAACTTTAATGAGTACATTCAAGGAAACTTCCTAGCAGATAGATATGGAGGAGAACAGAGGAGCGGAGCGAGAGACAGGTGGTGAGTAGCGCATCAAATCTTCATGAAAAAGCACCCTTTCAGAAGAACACGGTGATGATCCATCAAGGGATTGATTTATCATTCTCACTTTTCGCATGCAACTTCATGTCAGCCAGATTGAAGAGCATCTAGTATAAAGGGGCTGTGCACAAGAGATGTTATTATATCGCAATCATGACGTAATTATCCTTTAGCTTAGACTAAATTCTCTCAGCCATACTTTTCAAACCTAGTCCGCGTCGCCGGGCCTCAAATTTGACTTGGGACTGAAATTAAATTGAGTTAAAAAAAAAATAGAAAATCCGGATGTTCCAATAAAACTTAATAAAAAACTTAATTACAATAATTATTTTATTTTTAACTAAAATAATATTATTTTGAGTTATAAAAAAATTAGAGTTCATCTAAGTGATCCAATTAAAACATGTGACCAGGATAAAACATGTGAGTTAGGTTTAAAAAACAGTTTGATTTTAAATTTTAAACTTGTTTTAAAAAAAATTAAAATTATTTTTTTTTATTTTAATTTTTTTTTGTGTTCTCATATTGTTTTTATATATTAATATCAAAAATAATTTTTTAAAAATAAAAATTATATTATTTTAATATATTTTTAAACAAAAAATATTTTAAAAAATAATTATTAACACCCTTCCAAATAGCTAAATTAATTTAAAACAACAATTTATAGGAGCTTCCACTCATTTTGGGCACGTGTGGAATGGAAATGTAAACTGTCCCTTGCGACTATTGCTAGATATGATTCGAGCATCTCCTCCAACTTTCAAGATTTTTCATTTCTATCTCTCTCAAATGATTTTGTTTACAATTGGGACTCATTTTGTTTTATTTCCCCCCCAATTTGCCTGGCTGTGTTTGACAGCACTAGGGGGTAAATGGCAAAATTTGACGAAATATTGAAATTCCATAAGGGAAGAACGGTGGAAAATGGAGACTTGTTTCTTTCTATCATATCCTAATATAAGATCCAAACATGGTAGGCCATCATCTGCTAGCTGTAAGCCTGTTATGATCAATAATTGAGATACAGTTTACCTCATTCTTCTTCTTCTTCTTCTATAATAATAAGCAAACATGGCACAAGGTGAGATAATATTCCTGGACAAGCTGCCCATGGAAGCCATTCACAGGACAAAAATATAAAAAAGCACGTTTAGCTGGGGTGATTGCTGCTGAAAAGTTTAGTTCTTGAGGACCTCAAGAACCGAACTTTTGTGTTGTTATAATCATAACACCTCACTTTCAATGCTCTTGTCATGATCATAGCGGTTTAAGGTTCTTTATCCTCTTTTTTTTTTTGGAATTATTATTATGATTATTATTTGTGGTGAAGGGCCGGTATCAAACAAATTAATGAAATAAAGAATGGGAGAAATGCAAAGAGTTTTGGTTGATTACGTACATGTGCTGGAGATTATCTTCTGTGAGTTAGCTTTTAGCTATCTCGTGCTATCAATTAGTGGTTAGCCTAATTTAATTAGGTGCTGAGGAATTAGGCAGAGGTGCATGCATGGCGTGCAAGCCTGCCGATGCATTTGGGTACGTGAAAACAAGGGGTTTTGAGTATCGATTTGATAGTAGTTGAAGATTTGTTCGGATCAGATTAGCATAAAATGATAATAATATGAAATCTGATTATTATATTAATTTTTTATTTTTTTCAATGATTTTATATGTAATTTTGTTGCTTATTGGATTTCCAAGAATTAAATTATGAAGTTGTTGTTGGGATGAATTTTGTTATTTCCTTGAGATTTTTTTAGATTTATTATTTTCATCTTGATTCTGTTATTTAATTCTCATTGGTTTAATTTTTCAAAGCATTTTTTTTTAATTTTTAATTCATTGAAGTCCTAAAAGATTTTTTTAGGACACTCTTAATGTCCATATTAGAGGACGAGCTTCATTAAAAAAACAAAAATCTCGACAACACTTTTTTTTTTCAGAGATTGAGCATTTAATATTGCAATGTATAATCAGAGAATGATATGTTTATAATGATTATTTATTTTTTTAATCTAAAAAGTATTAATTAGTATTATTCATTTATGGTGAAATTCAACAAATCAGCGATACACAATTTCTTTCTATATATTTATAAAGATTTTTAAAGCACAGTGGCCATAATTGTCATGATAATCTGATACACAGCGATTGTTGCCATGTCCTCGTTTGTGATTGAAACCATGTTCAGACGTCAAGCGAAATTAATTGACCTTGGAATTCTCCAGTCTTTTTTCTAACTAGAAAGAAAAAGCAGAGGAAATACTCAATTAATTAGATTTTAAATTTAAATTTTTATATAATTATTAAAAGTTTATATAATTATTAATTTTAAAATTTATAAAATTAAATTAGATGAGATATATATAATCTAACGATAACTCCCCATTAATAATAATAAAAAATAAAATAAAAAGCAAAGGCACCCAGAAGTGAGAAAACAGGGGAATTCAGAGGGCGAACGAGAAGAAGACAGTGTAAGGAACATGCAATGGCTGCAGTGTTACTTGCTTGGCGTTTCTTAAACATTGGTAGGGCTGGATGGAAAATCATCGCATTAGTATAAAAGGGAAGCGATTGAAACACAAGCAAGCTTCTTTGAAGCGCAAGTATTGAATCGAAAGCATACAAAACTAGAATGCGCAGGAGGAACAACAACGGTACCCGGTGCCTGCAAAAGGACCAAGGTGCAATCAGGAGGGACACTCACATGGCGCCAGTGGATGATACTAATCTTGTAAGACTGGGTGTAAGGATTGGAAAGATGACAACTTGAGCCAGCGAGAAAGAGTTGGATTTTTGGTGTCAGGTCCACAGAAGCTATACAAAATATCAGGAGGACAACTTACTGGGAACAAGGTTGCAGCAAACACATGAAAGGGGTCGATGTTCAATAACCAAGCAACGTAACAGCAAAAATACTACAGAAAATTGATAAATATAAACGAAAACACCAACAAAAGCCAGATTATTTCCTGTTTTTTTGTGTGTTAAAAGGTTGAGTCTTTCGTTAAACGACGAATAGGTGAGAGTATGCACTTTGTGAACAAAACAGTTGAACAAAAACAACAAAAAGGAAATAAACGAACGTGGGTGTAAATAGCAAGCTATCCATCAATACAAGCTCGACAGACTCGAAGTCTCCTAGAATATGAGGCAGAAGGGGGAGCCAAAAACACATGCGTATCCTCTTTATTTAAATGTGGAAAATTTAACAAATGTGTAGATGAAGATCAGCAATGATCATAAAGAAATAAAGGATCTTTCATATTCAATCAAGAAAGGTTGGTGAGATGGAGAAGGAAGAGTCTAACAAAAAATCAGCTAAGTAACAAAACAGAATGCTAATAATCATGAATGAACAGAAGCAATCGCGGAACAGCACAAACACTAAAACACAGTTGAAGAGAGATGTAGCATAATCATTTTATTTAGTTTCTTGATTTCGCCGAGCATCAAAAAATAATTGTTCTTGATATTTAT